TCATGGACACATTTTTCACAAGACTAACACACCAGGACTGTTCTTGTGATTGTGAACAATAGCTCTTCTTACTTTATGTTAATTATTATTTACTATAGTTCTATTAGGTACTTAACAAGGCAGTATATCTAGCAGCAGCCAACAGAACATTCATTTTAACAAGTCTTTCACTGGGTCATTTGCTTGTACAAAACTACTCAAATAAGTGTCACTCCAATCTAGATCTGCCTATTTTTATTTTTTGATCTAGAGATGTAAAGCTTTAAAGGTTCCGTGGTTTGTGACATTTACACCCACACCCAATTTATCCTATGAAGTTTAATAGAGAACTCAGTCTTTTCCATAATATTTTTTAAAACCACATATAGCTGGTACAAAAGCAAGTATAAAGTGCTCTATTCAGTTCTTCAGGCTGATTTAGAACTTCTGTAGGAAGGACCTTTTACACACTATATGTTTAAGAGTAATTTTTATAGAAGATGGTTGGTTTCATCCTTTTGAAATTCTACTGACCTGATTCTCAGGTCTGGGCAAGCTTGTCTTTTCCACTACACCAGATTATGAGGCTGTTAAGACAACTAGCTATTCCTAGAGTGCAGAAGCATTCCAGCTACTGTACCTTTCCGTTGGCCACATCCCATGAATGCATCCTATCAAATGCATTGTCACAGAACAGCTGCAATCAATTTACAGCCTGAAGCATGAAAGTTTATTACCCCATTATTGCATGAAAACTATCCTGGTAGGAATTGTGCAAAATATTATAAGAACGTTAAGAATGGCCATAGTGAGTTGGACCAATGGTCCATCAAGCCCAGTATCCTGTCTTCCGACAAGTGGCTGGCGCCAGATGCTTCAGAGGGAATGAACAGAACAGGGTAATTATCGAGTGATCCACCTCATCATCCAGTCCTAGCTTCTGGCAATCAGAGGTTTAGGGACACCCAGAGCATGGGGTTGCATCCCTGACCATCTTGGCTAATAGCCATTGATGGACCTATCCTCAAATGAACTTATCTAATTCTTTTTTAAACCCAGTTATACTTTTGGCCTTCACAACATCCCCTGGCAACAAGTTCCACAGTGCGTTGTGTGCTGTTTGAAGAAATACTTCCTTTTCTTTGTTTTAAATCAGCTGCCTATTCATTTCATTGGGTGACCCCTGGTTCTTGTATTATGTGAAGTGATAAATAACACTTCCTTATTCACTTTCTCCATATCACTCATGATTTTATAGACCTCTATCAGGTCCCTTTCTCATTTGTCTCTTTTCTAAACTGAGGAGTCCCAGGCTTTTTTAATCTCTCCTCATTTGGAAGCAGTTTAATACCCCTAATCATTTTTATTGCCCTTCCCTGTACTTTTTCCAATTCTAATATATCCTTTTTTAGAGATGGGGTGATCAGAACTGCACATAATATTCAAGATGGGGGTGTGCTATGCATTTATATAGTGGCATTATGATATTTTCTGTCTTATTAGCTATCCCTTTTCTAATGGTTCCTAACACTCTGTTAACTTTTTTGACTGCAGCTGCACATTGAGCAGATGTTTTCAGAGAACTATCTACAAGGACTCCAAGATCTCTTTCTTGAGTGGTAAAAGCTAATTTATACCCCTCGTTTTGTATTTAGAGTTGGGATTATGTTTTCCATTGTGCATTACTCTGCATTTATCAACATTGAATTTCATCTGTCATTTCGTTGCCCAGTAACTCAGTTTTGTGAGATCCCTTTGTAACTCTTCGCAGTCAGTGTTGGACTTAACTATCTTAAGTAATTTGTTACTGTCTGCAAACTTTGCCACCCGGCTGTTTACCCTTTTTTCCAGATGATTTATGAATATGTTGAACAGCATAGGAGCCAGTACAGATCCTTTGGGGACACCACTATTTACCTCTCTCCACTGTAAAAACTGTCCATTACTCCTAATCTTTATTCCTTATCTTGTACTCAATTACTGATTCATGAGGGGACCTTCCTTCCTATCCAATGACTGCTTTACTCCTGGGGAATTCTTCGCCAAAAATTAAAAATTCTGCATCAAAAAATTAAAAGTTTTGCATACAATATTGTAAAATTCTGCAAATTTTATTTGTCAAAATAATACTACATAATCACGCCAATTTCAATTATTTTGTTTATTTCAAAACTAGGGTGACCAGATGTCCCAATTTTATAGGGACAGTCCCGATTTTTGGGTCTTTTTCTTATATTGGCTCCTATTACCCCCCACCCCGTCCTGATTTTACACATTTGCTGTCTGGTCACCCTATTTCAAAACACCTGTCAGCAAGTATGTCTCTAACAACACAGACACACACAAGAATTCCCTCAGGAGTAGAGTGTTAAAGAAACACCTATGACCAACCCAGTTCCTGTTTCTCTGCACCCATCCCCATCCAAGAGCCCAGCGGGGAGCGCAGCCACCAACAACCCCTCCCCCAGAGTCCACCCACAGGGCCCCCCGCAGCCAATACACCCAAACCTCTTTCCCCCCAAGCCTAGCCGTGGGCCCCCCCGCAGCCCAGACACCAGCTCCCCTCCCTCCCCAAATGCAGCTGCGGCTCCCCCAGCAAAGACATTAACCCACTCCCTCCCAGAACCCAGCTGCCCCCTAGTGGTGACAGCAGCACTGCAGTCTGTTTCTGTGGGGGAAAGGAAATTCTGTGCAAAAACCATTAATTTCTGCAAAATTCTGCATTGCACAGTGGTGCAGAATTCCCCCAGGAGTACTGCTTACTTTACGTAAGAGCCTTTGGTGTTTGCCCTTTTCAAAGGCTTTCTGAAAATCCAAGTACACTCTATCAATTGGATCACTCTTGTCCATATGCTTGTTGACATCCTCAAAGAATTCTAGCAGACTGGTGAGGCATGACTTCCCTTTACCAAAGCCATGTTGACTCTTTCCCAACATATCATGTTTATCTTTGTATCTTATAATTCTGTTCTTTACTATATTTCAACCAATTTGTCTACTGCTGAAGTTAACAAGTTCTTTGAAAAGAAGCCAAGATAAAGTAGAGCAGTTGTGTATATACTAAGCTAGTCTTAACTGTCCATCATAATAAACCCTTGGGAGAGAGAGATGCACAAAAGGTAAATATCTTACATTAGTAAGAAATTCAAAGTAGAAAAAGTGAATAGTAAGCTATAGTGAATGAGTTTAACACTCTGGTTTCTATTCATAAATAGATATATACATGAGGGAAGAGAAAGAAATTCACATATATTTACACAGAAAAGGGAGAAAAGTGACCAAATCATGTAAATAGATCCCCTAATTAATACTTACTGCTCACATCTTAGCTTCCCTTATTTCTGCAGCTACAATGTTTATCCAGCTGTAGATTGTTAAGACAGTATCTTGCAGCTGCAGTGCACAGCCAATCCCCAGAGGAAGAGCCAGAATATGCAATCTAGGTGGTATTTCTTTTTTAAAAAGAGAAACTTTGAAATCACGTGTAAGACTATTTTTGTCAAGGACATCAAATTTGCAAAACTTAGCAGATTCACTGCATAGCTCAAGTTAAGCAGCACTCTATATCCCTATTCTATTCAAGTTCTTATACTGTGCCCTCACCATGAGCACTTGTGAGCGATGAATTAAGTGGTGTGACTGGTATCTGTCATGTACGGTGACTTTCCCATTCCTCTGCTCTTTCCAGCAGGGAAAAAGGTGTAAGGATTTGTCTTTGTTTGTTATGAAGCACTAGGTTTTTATTACAGAAGGCCAGGTTGAAGAATTGTGCTTTGCACTTGGAACTGAAAGTAGTGAGCTTTGGGGTGATGCTTTAGAGAAAAACCATACAGCAAATCTGTAAAATTACAAAGGAGGTATATAAACCCCTTTATGCTATTTGTGGGCTCCTCTTGCTCTTGCATGTTGCATTAACATTTGGAAGTCAGAAATCCTGACTCTATGGGCAATGGTCTTCAGTTTCATTTTTGCTTGTTCAACTTTTAGTCCAAAATAATAAAAGCCTTGGGGGACAAGACTCCCTTTTCATTGTTCTTGGTGTGCCTTATGTAAACTCCCTATAAGATTTCTAAAAATGGTTTAAGAAATTCACAGAAATGAACACCACCTAATTAGAGGTAGGCAAAAATTCACTAGCTACTCTCTGGGAAAGTTTTTTATTTTCATCCCTTCCTACAGCCATATTCTATTTTTTTAAAAAGTCAATCGATTGAGATTCCTTAAAGGAATTAAAGGAAAAAATTAAGAGGCGGGAGATAAGAAATCACTATTTAATATGAAGGTTTAAAGAAGGCAAATGTTATGGACTGAGGGTACATAGTTAGAACTAAATTCAGACCAGTTTTAAGCAGATACAACTCCACTGTGATCAGAAATGTTACATCCCTTTTAGGGTGACCAGACAGCAAGTGTGAAAAATCAGAACAGGGGGTGGGGGGGTAATAGGTGCCTATGTAGGAAAAAGCTCCAAAAATCAGGACTGTCCCTATAAAATCGGGACATCTGGTCACCCTAATCCCTTTACACCAGGTAGATGTGAATTTTGCCTTTGAGAGCTCAGTTCTATGGCCAATACGCCAATATATAGCGATACTGTAGTTTCTTTTGATGATACATAGTGATCCTCACTCTGTACTAAAAGGCATCAATGAGAAAACAATTATTTTCACAGAATTAATTAAAGGAAATAGGTATAACAAGGTATGCCCCATCCTCTGCCCCCACTTTTCTTTAGCTAGCTGGTGTAATGCAGTCACAGATACTATTGTAGATATAACCTAGAGTTGAAAAATAAAAGCTCCATAGCTGAGTACGCCATGCTATGACACAAAAGAGGGTGGGAAACGGCAATGGAAATGAGCCACCTGGCAGCTGATTAAATAGCAACCAAAAATTAATACAGGTAGTTCTCCTCAAGCTATTTAAATTGTCACCACCCTACTTAGCAAACATAGGTACAGGAGATTAGTACTTCAGCGGTCATTTAGGGCTGCTTGTGTGCAGCCAGATATGGATCTTACCATCATGTCGGCTGGGAGAATCACATCCTTTCTGTGGAGTTGCCACTCGAAGGAATATCTGTTGTCTCCATGAATGCCGGCGAGTCCTTACAGGGGTGTCATTGCCAACATCCAGCTGGCTTTGTTTAGACTCATAGTCACTAAAATTACAGAGTACAGAAAGGCTTATGAATAAGTTATGACAGACACAAGAGTCGTCTAATGACATTGAAGTGTTAGGTTTCAGGGGACATAAAAACCAAAGCTATCAAGGAAGGAAGGCTGTGTCCCCCACACATGCTGGGTCAGCATCCATGTGTTAAATGGGTGAAATTCACCCCATTGCTGCAGGTCTGCACAAGGTCATATGTATCACTCAAGTTAGTGATTGGGCATATGGCTTTGTGCAGAGTTTGCTTTCCAAGATTTAATTAACTTATTGTCAACATTTTACAATTTATTTTGTGATAATACCTAAATACACACAATGTGTAGCAGGTGTACATACAGAACGGTGAAAACAGTGCATATACACACTAACAAACTTTTACATTATTTGTTAACAGCACTTTTCATTTCTCTAATGACTTTAATTAGTGAATCTCAAGGAGCTCTATTAACATCAGTTAAAACTCTCAACTCCCTGTGAATTAGGTGCATATCATACTCCTTTTTCATATACATAAAATAAGTAACATAGAGGTTAAGTGACTTTCTCCAAGTCACACTATAAAAATCAGTCACAGAGCTAAAAATAGTCCCCAGAAACCGGCCTTCTATTCCTTTGGTCTAATTGATAGGCTTCACAAAGAGCGTTTTGTTAAAATTCAGAATTAAATAATGAACAACAATTATATCTGTCCCTTTAAAAATCCCACTATTACCTCTTCTAGGAACTCAAATCATTCTTTATTTTTCTTTTTAGCTACCATGGATTGAGAGTGTTGTGGGAATTTGTGTTGAATGCTGAAGGGGACAAATAAGCTTCAAAGAGCACTGGTAGTAATTGATTTTCTAGGCCAGGAACCATTTCAATAGGCTCATTCCAGCCTGAGAACATTGATGTAGTGTGGGATGTATCCTGTATTTTCTTAATGGTGAACTGGTAATATGGATATGCCCCTTTGGACAGGAGTAGTCAGATAGTGGGAATTAAAGTTGTATTATCACAACATCTGGGTTCAGAAATGGACAGCAGATCCATAGTCATTATAGAACAGAAACCATGGTAACCTCCCGACCTTTGATGGGATCCTCATTTAGCTTACTTCATCTATTACATGCAAGTGAATGATAAATTATTAATTTCTACAAATGCATAAAGTGCTCTCAAAATTAAAACAAAGAATCCTTTGAATGATACAGTTTTACCTCCAGGCTTAAAGACAGAACCCTACCTTTTTGCGCTCCTAAAGTCAGAGGTGTTATTTTCATCTACGGGAGCCAGAAATTTTAAGAAATTTGGCACAGAGGAGGAAGAATGAAGCTTTTTCCGTAGGGCAATACGGTAGGAGATGCTGAGAGTGCAGTTGGGAAAAGTGCAGTTTAGAATGAGGAAGTGTAAATATGCAGAATAAAAAAAAATACACAGTGCAAGCTTCAAAACAAAAATACTTTTAGGCATGAATACCAAGGAAAATAAAGTAAAAACTAAAATTGTGTGACAAGTTCTACTCTGAAATCATATTTGGGTCACCTAACTGCTCCAGTATTCATATACTTTAACAAATTAATTATCTGCTATGCTCAAGGATTCATCACCCATGTTTCAACTATATTTATTTAATCCTGTAAGAATTCATGGCTATTCTATAGCCAAACAACTGCTAAAATTGGTAGGTACATGTTCCAGTGTCCTACATTTTTGGAGGGGTGGGGGTAGAAAAAAGTTGACACTTCTGTAACTGGTATGGGGAGGGAGAGCAGCAACTGAATAAGCTGACTATGCAAAAGTGCCTACTAACATAGTAACTTCCACACAACAATAGAATTTTCAGCATCTGATTGTTTGGGTTTGTTACTCTTGTGTGACAGGTAGAAGCACCAATCAAATCTCACTAGAAGCATTTCAGCAAATATAACTCTTGTTCCCAACCTTTGTCTCCTAAACTACCTACATGAAGCTCCTACAGCACTCAGAGGAACATTAATGGGTAGTGGTTTAACAAAAGCAGCTGAGTTAATGACAATTTCTGACTGGAATGGAAGCTGATAAAGTCATCTGGTGTGTGGTAACTAAAAGGTAACATTGCTAAGAACTAAGATATCATACCAAAATACGCTACTTGGGGTGGGTTATTCTTTATGGGCCTCTGTAAGTCTCTCTTGTTGAAGCTGTTCCACTTTGTATGAAACACTTGAATAGTCATTGAGCTAGAAAGAATTATTCTATAGCCTGGTGGTTAGAACGCTCGCTGGGAAGGTAGGAGACCCAAGTTCATGACCCTACTCCAATGATGAATTATTTATACACAATGGGACAGATTCAGCATGAGATTGAGATCCCCCACACCAGAATATCCCATAACCCAATGGCTAGGATGCTCTTCTGCAATGTTGGAGACACAAGAACAAATCTCTTTTCCACAACAGGCAAAAGGGGGAATTGAACCCTGGTCTCCCATATTCCAAGTGCGGGCCCTAGCCACTGTGATAAAAGTTATAAAGGGAGGCCATGGCAACACCTCTTCCCCATCTCTTTCTGTTTTGTGACTGGTGCCTAGTCCCAAAAGAAAAAATGTTTTGACTGAAACTATTTAGTGAATTCACATCAAAGTCACAAACAGTTTCAGGTTGATTAAAATTGCATTGTTGGTGAATAAATTATTCATCCAAAAAATTTCACCCATCTCTAGTTTTAGGGAGCAGGGGTCTTCTCACCATAAGGTGAAAAGGCAGAGTGAATAGCCCTGTCTGTAATTTTCCTCTCCACAAATGCTTTGGCTATAAGGACAAGAATATCAAACTATCACTTGATATTGGGGGAGTGATAGCTCAGTGGTTTGAGCATTGGCCTGCTAAACCCAGGGTTGTGAGTTTAATCCTTGAAGGGGCCATTTGGGGATTGGTTCTGCTTTGAGCAGGGGGTTGGACTAAATGACCTCCTGAGGTCCCTTCCAACCCTGATATTGTATGGTACTGAATAACTCTCCACAAGTCAGACTTTTATTACCCTTTTCACCTGGTCAAATTTCCAACTCTTAGCAAGTCACTTTCTCCCTCTCCCCTTTTCAACCACAAAGGAGCAGGGACCAGTATCAGTGTTACTTTGAACAAGGCAGAGAGTGAAACTGAAAAATTCTGGCGAAACAGAGAGAGTGAGAGAGTCCTTGACATCGAAGCCTCAGGCACAGTTTAACCAGCACTGCTTTCTGATTCATCACAAGAGCAACTGACCACAACATATCATCTGTGTGTGAGAGCACCTGAAGTAATTTCATTCAGTCAAAATGAAAAATTAGATCAAGTGCCCTATGATAAAATGCACTACTACAAAACGTTAGGAGAGGAGTTTATTTTCCCCTCATGTAAACACATCCCCTCTGGTAGGATTGTATTAATAATTATTTATTATTATTATTATTATTATTATTCAGTCACTGTGCACATAGTGAGTGAGGATAATGCAGTGGTGTGTGTTTATGGTACAATAAAACAAACACTCCCAAAACTATATACAGCTGCTATCCTCACCTCTTTTGTGCAACATGCCCACATTGTTCTCTGCTTGAATTATGCTTTAGATATTTTAAAAAAGTGGGTGAAGAGGCCGAGGGATTAAGACGAGCTAGAGGAGAGGGAGCTGAAGATTGACCAGAACAGCTTTCAGACTCGCCAACAGATGTGCTCAAACTGAACAGTGGGATTCCAGCCATGTGGGAGGGATGAGGTAAGAAAGAGAGAGAGAGAACAAATCTCAGAAACAGAGAAAAATGAAATGAGATTGCTTATCTAGCCTCATTTTAAAATGTCCTACTACTGCCAGATAACAATTACATAAATTTCTGATTTACAGCTCTATCTGTAAGGCACTGAGCACTGTAACCTAATCCAGCAAACTACAGAAGCGTTTGCTTACAGGCCCTGATTCAGCAGGGTACTTAAGCACATGCCTAAATTTATACACATGTTCAAGTGCTTCGCTGGATTGGGGCCAAAATGCTCAGCATCTTGCAGGATGGTGTCTACATGCACTGTGGAAACTACCTCTAAACCAGGGGTAAGATTTTTCAAAGGAATCTAAGTAATTTACTAATCTAAATCTCATTGAAAGTTATTGGGATTTGGGCCTAAATCCCTTGGGCTCTTTTGAAAATTTTATCCTACAAATTTTTCTGAGAGCTCCATTTTCCCAACATCGTGTACTTATTGCTTTTATTAGCTTGCCGTAGTATACCACTAAGGGCCCAATCCTTTGAGGATTAAGTGCTCTCAGCTGCTCCCACTGACATCCTAGGATGGGACCAAAACAGGAATGGCAAAGGAAATTAAACATATATTCAACGTTTAGCTATAGTCCCACAGTAAAATAGGAATGAACTGAGAAAGCAGAAGCAAGTAGAAAGTTTTAAGGAGGCACTTGTAAAGTTAAACCAACAAGTGCTAAATTGCACCACAAAAGCCATTTAGCATTTAAGGAACAAAAAGGTTCAAAGAAGAGACAAAAAGGCAACTCGGGTTATGTTTCCTTTTAAATAACAAAATTCTCTTTTTTCACTGTCATCATCTATCTCAAGCATTTACCTTTACCACTCTGCCTTCTGCAGGAAAAGTGAGCCAGCACAGAGACAGATTTACTACTGTCTAACTTGTGTAAACCAGCAGTTTTGGCAGAGAAACAGAAGTCTACAGACAAGAATGTTTCCACAGTAACTGGAAAAAGCCAGAGAGAGAGGGAGGGTGAGGGGTGGTGGAGGGGAAGTCCCATAAAGCTTAGTGAGATTTCACGGATGTATAAGCAAGCCCTTAAAGGAGGACATCTGAAGAGTATTAGCAAGAAGACTATTAAAAATTTATTTTTGTTAGTGAAACTTTGCAGCTTAATCAAGAATTGCTTTTATTGCACTGGCTGGTTAAAACTGGACAAGGGTCTGTCCTCTGACACCGATTAGAGAATTTTTTCATTTTTTAAACAGGATTCCTCTTCATAAATATGAAATAGAGAGGCACCACAAGAACCAGCTATTATTTAGACTGCTTTCAGATACACCCAGCAAGAACTATTTCACATTAGTTGCACAGGCAAATTAATCTCTCATCATCCACTTATATCATGCTTGTGTAGTAAAATGGCTTTCTGACACTTACTGTGGAATTGCAAGTTTCAGGTTTCGTCTCCCTCCTTGAACAATACCAAATGAGCAGAGAATATAACGTGTTTTACGCGGATGACACACTGCTCTAACACTAAGCATTACGTTTCTCTTTTGCTAAATGAACATACCTGATATGCAATGAACATCCCATAATTTGCCCCAAATATCTATCAAACAATATCCTGCTTTTAAAATGAGTCTTACTTTCGCCTGTGAGGAGTCTCTGTGCTCACTGAATGATACCTCATAAGTTTCCTTTGTGGAACAGATGGTGATGTTTCAACTGGTTCCAAAGATTCCTGGTATTCGATAGGCAAGTGACTCAATGTGTTTGCTCGCCGGCGAAAGCCTTGCTGAGGTAATTTATCAGGCTGCTCGATGGGGTGACTAACTGGGTCACTGGAGACATCTCCCACAGATCCATTGGTCTTGGCAGGAGTCTCTGGAAGTGGGCCTTCTTTTTCACACAAAGATGGTTCCTAGCAATATAAAAATATTTACCCATGTAAAATATGATTTATAAATAATAATTTGAGGTTCTCAATCCCAGGCCTATTTTTTGACACAATAAACAAATCTCCTTCCTCCTACAAAGACATTTATTTCTAAACTTTTAGTCCCAGCTGAACATTTCCTGAAAATAAATACAGTCCAACACTTACAAGCTTTCCTGCCTAAACTCAGGCACCCAAGTAAAAGTGGCTGAGATTTTCAAATAGTGTTGAGAAACTGCATCTCCCAATATGCTGGTGGAAGCTCAACAACTCTCCAAGTCCGGCAACTCTTCTTTAGATACCTAACTTTAGACACTATAGTTTGAACATTTAGGCCATGGTATCTCACACAATGACCTAACCTTTAATGTTTCATTTCTAATCAGCAAGGCAGATACATGCTATTATATTTATGCTTTATACAGGGAAAAAAGGCTGAATAGTAGTTATCCTCAACACTCTGAAGAGGAAAACCTGAGACAAGAAAGGGGCAAATGAATATATGGTATGTTATTGTCATGAAAGCTGAAATGTAAAAGGAAGCATTTCAGACTACACAGAATCCATTTACATTGATGATTTAACATAAAACTGCACTTTTTATTGGATCTTTTTCTTTTAAAAAAAAATCACTCATGATTACAAATGCAGATGCATGAGTCTATCTAGATACTCATATTGACCCTATGCCCATTGTATCTTAGCGCCTCACAAATAATGACTTTATCTTCACAACAAACCTGTAATGGAGAACTGAGGCACAGGCACACTAGGAGTGGAACTGTGGCCCACTCAAGTCAGGACTTATTCAAGGTCACATAGGAAGCTTATGACAGAACCAACAACTGACCTTAGTCTCCTGACTGGTCAGTGGCCATACCACAAGACCATCCTTCCTCTCTGCTTCATATTAAATTATTTTACTAGAATCTCAAACCATACCATCAATATATAAATTCTTTACATTTCGAAGTTTAATTCTATAGTCCTTATGAATGTACAACTCCCACTGAAATCCAAAAAGTTGCGTTTACTTTCAGTGATGTTAACTAATCACCACATTGGAATCAACAATCCTGAAGCTGACGCATCATTTACATTCATTGTTGCAATCTCAGAGAATGAATAATTGCCCAAGTTGGGCCCACTAACCCCATCTTTTCTTAGCACCAGGAAAGAAATAATTTATAATCAAAATGCCTAAAGACAGCCTAAAATTTCTGAAAAAGAGAAAGTGACATGGAGATATCAGTTCCCATCTCTTGGAGAAGCTGCCAGGATAAGAAATTCCATTATGATCTCTCAACATGTTAACTCAAAATTGCTGTTTCTTTATTAGAGAGACAAGGTGAGAGATAATATCTTTCACTGGACAAATTTCAGCTGGTGAAAGAGAGAAGATTTCGAGGTACACAGAGCTCTTCTTCAGGTCTGGGAAAGGTACTTAGGCTATGTCTACACTGCACATCTTACAGAGACGGCTGTGTCGCTGTAAGATATGCGGTGTAGCTGCTCTTTGTCAGCAGGAGAGAGTTCTCCTGCTGATAAAATAAAAGCACCCCCCAAAGAGGAGTGGTAGCTCTGTTGGCGGGCAAAGTACTGTCCACTCCGGCACTTTGGTAAAACTTCTGTCAGTCAGAGGGGTGTTTTTTTCACATCACCAACCGACAAAAGTTTTACTGATGAAAGTGTGGTGTAGACATAGCCTTTGAGTGTCACCTCTAAACAAGGTGGAGCTGATTGTTTAGCACAAGTAATTAGCACATTATGAGAGACCATTCAATGTGAAGTGGCACTTTACCACCCCTGCAGTCACAGGACAAAAAAAAGAGGGTTTCAGTTTGTTGTAATAAACCATAAACCCACTGTCTTTATTTAAATAATGATTTTTAGTGTCTAGCAAAGTTATGAATTTAAGCTCCCAGGCTCATTTTTTGAAGGTGTTGTGCAGGTTTCCTTTAAGGAAAAGGACTGAAAGATCAGATGTGGAGTGTTTGTTTTGTGAAAAGTGTTCGCCTAAGGGTGATACAGTATTTTTGTCTTTTCTGATTTTTCTGTGTGAGTTCATTCAAGAGCTTAGGTCTGGTCTTCACTATGTTGCTCAGGGGGTGTGAAAAATTCATACCCCCCATGAGCAATGTAGTTATGCCGACCTAACCTCCCAATGTAGACAGCACTATGTCGGTGGGAAAGCTTCTCCCATTAACATAGCTACTGCCTCTCGGGGAGGTGGATTAACTACGCCAGTAGAAAAGTACTTGCCATTGCTCTTGTAGACTTGCCATTAGTAATTATCTGGTTTCACCCATATAGTGATTATCGGGGCATTTAATGCACTGGATGAGGTACACCACAAACTGTGATAGCAATGTGTAGGACTCATGGATCTTAAAAGGTGTGTCGTGAGGGGCATTGATCATTGTAGCAGTGGAAACATGTCCGCAGGTTTTGCATCTGCTGTTACGGCAGGGTCTGGTGCTGCTTTGAGTTGGTGGATCCTGGTCAGTGGAGAACTTGCTTCTGACGATTATCTTGACAAGGTTGGAGGGGGCATTGTTTGAAGGCATGAAGAGAGGGTTTGGAAAAGATTTCTTTCAGGATGTAGAATCCATTGAGTATGGGTTGTTATTGTTTAATGATAGCCCATAGGGGTTCCAGTGTGGGGTGGTAGTCTCATATCCAGGGATGTGGATCATAACATTGCTCAGGGGATTCAGATGCATTTTAATGTGGAGTGCACACCTGAGTTGGTTACACACATTTCTTAAGTTGCTTGCAGCAATGGGGTGAGCAGAAGGCAGAATTTAGGCCCTGATGTTGCAAGCTGATATCATGGGCAAAGCACGGTTGACTTCTATGTGGCTCTGCATGGGATTAAGGATCTGCCCTCTGGGCCAGCATGCAAGAACAGAGCTCCCCTTGGTAGGAAAAAAACCCCATATTCTTAGCAGCAAACTATCATATTACTCGTATAGCTACATTTTTCATGTCTGGTGTTTTGTTTTTCTTCCCACACAATCAATCGGATTTTTTATTCATGAATTCATGAAAAAATAACAAATATAAGACATTAAAATAGACTGATTACACCTACACATCACATGATTGTAAATAATTTTACAAAAAAAGTTATCAGAAGATTCTCAATTTATTCAATCATTATGGTGATTACTTACTTTACTTGTGCTGCTTAATGTACTGGATAAGGAGCTGTCCAAATCCACACTTCCAGAACTTTCTAGTGAACCTCTGGCTTTACTACCCTGTAGAAATAAAGTATATGAAGCAATCAGAATTAGAACACAAAAAATTGCATTCCAACAGAACATCCTTGCTGGAATTGTTAAATCACTGATTCTGCCAGTATCAAATTCAATTTCCTGAAATGCCTAAGAATAACCTGCCTCTTCACAAGAAACAGGTGCTTCCTTCAGGAAGGCCACAAATATTTTAAGGACCCTAGCAATTAATACACTCATGCAGGTCAAATTATTATTTTTTTCAGCCAGGATTGCTGTTGGCAGCATCATATCCTACAAAATATATATGTGGAAAGGGTTTGAATAATCATGTGCTTGAGACTGAATTACAACTATTATTACAGCACCTCCCTCAGACCATAAAATGAAATTTCACATTAGGCTATCTCCATCATAATGCAAAGATAGGAACTGATTAGTACAGAGGACTGAAGACTACATCTAGAGTTTGGTACAATCTCTTGGACTGCAGCCCCATTAGGTTACCCAGAGGAATGCATAGAAACCGGATAATGGGTAGCTATGCAGCTGTATTTCTATGGAGCAAACATGCTCTTGACCACAAGCAGCTAATAGTTGGCTTATGTTCTGAAGCACAAAGGTTAAAGTCCTGTATGAAATTTTATTCCAGCTGCAATAGAGTAATTGTTGACATCATCATTACCATATTCTTTTTCTGAATCTTAATAAACTTTTTGCTTCAGGACTGTCTATGCTTAAGGTTTATCAATATAGTTATATTGATCAGGGGCGTGATTTTTTTACTGACATAGCTATGCCAATAACAGCCCTAATGTAGATGCAGTTATATTCATAGAATCATAGAAATTCGGGGCTGGAAGGGACCTCAAGAAGCCATCAAGTTCAGTACCCTGCACTAAAGCAGGACCAAGTTTGACAAGGTTGGAGGGGGCGTTGTTTGAAGGCATGAAGAGAGAATTTGGAAAAGATTTCTTTCAGGATGTGGAACCCAGGGCCAGCTCCAGGCACCAGCGAAGGAAGCAGGTGCCTGGGGCGGCATGTCCGGGTCTTCCGCAGTAGGGAAGGACCCACCACTGAATTGCTGCCGAAGAATGGAGTGGTACGATTGAGCTGCCGCCGAAGTACCGCCGATCGGCTTTATTTTATTTATTTATTTATCCTCCCCCCTCCTGCTTTGCCGCTTGGGGTGGCAAAAAAGCTGGAGCCAGCCCTGGTGGAACCCATTGAGTATGGGTTGTTATTGTTTAATACAGGGGTAGGCAACCTATGGCACACGTGTCAAAGGCGGCACGCGAGCTGATTTTCAGTGGCACTCACACTGCCCAGGTCTTGGCCACAGGTCCGGGGAGCTCTGCATTTTAATTTAATTTTAAATGAAGCTTCTTAAACATTTTAAAAACTTTATTTACTTTACATACAACAATGGTTTAGTTATATATTATAGACTTATAGAAAGAGACCTTCTAAAAACGTTAAAATGTATTACTGGCACGCGAAACCTTAAATTAGAGTGAATAAATGAAGACTCGGCACACTACTTCTGAAAGGTTGACGACCACTGGTTTAATGATAGCCCATAGGGTTTCCAGTGTGGGGTGGTAGTCTCATATCCAAGGATGTGGTTTATGATCATACCATTGCTCAGGGAATTCAGATACATTTTAATATGGAGTGCACACCTGAGTTGGTTGTGAACCAAGTAAACCTAGACCATCCCTGACAGGTGTATGTCCAACCTGTTCTTAAAAACCTCCAACAAAAGGGATTCCACAATCTCCTTTGGAAGCCTATTTCAGAGCTTAACTACCCTGACAATTTGAAAGTTTTCCCTATTATCTAACTTAAATCTCCCTTGCTGCAGATTAAGCCCATTATTTCTTGTCCTACCTTCTGTGGACATGGAGAACAATTGATCACCATCCTCTTTATAATGGCTCTTAACATATTTGAAGATGGTTATCAGGTCCCCCCCTCAGTCATCTTTTCTCAAGATTAAACATGCCCAGTTTTTTTAACCTTTCCTCATAGGTCAGGTTTTCTAAACCTTTTATCATTTTTGTCGCTCTCCTCTGGACTCTGTCCAATTTGTCCACACATTTCCTAACATGTAGCACCCAGAACTGGACACAGTACTCCAGTTGAGGCCTCACCAGTGCCAAGTAGAGTGGGACAATTGCCTCCTGTGGCTTACATATGACTTCCCCATTTTGCAACTGCATCACATTGTTGACACACATTCCATTTGTGATCCACTATAACACCTAGATACTTTTGAACAGTACCATCACTTAGCCAGTTATTCCCCATTTTGTAGTTGTGCATTTAATTTTTCATTCCCCAGTGTAGTAGTTCGCACTTTTACTGAATTTCATCTTGCTGAATTCAGACCAATTTGTCAAGGTCACTTTGAATTCTAAACCTGTCCTCCAAAGTGCCTGCAACCCCTCCCTGCTCGGGGTCATCTGCAAATTTTATGAGTGCACTTTCCACTCTATTATCATATTGGTGCAACATATCTGTCCACAACTTGTACTTACACCAATATAGCTTATGCCAGTCAGGCACTTTTACACCGATATAGCAATGTCCACAAGAGGGTTTTATGGCAGAGCTCTTCAGATGTTATCATATGTTATATAAGGGCACATTTCTTTTATCATCCTAGGCCAGTCTATATTATAAACTTTTGCTGGGATAGCTATGTTGGTCGGGGAAGTGATGAAGTGTGATTTGTAAGCAAAAAATTTCCAGTGTAGACATAGTTATCCTAGCAATACTGGGATTTTGCTGGGAGACCTTAGTTTGCTTCAGGGTGGGTAGCTGTAATAAGCTACACTGGTAAAAGTGCAATTTTGCTAGTATGAATTGCATCCATGCTAGGAGTACTTAGCCAGTGCAGTATACAGGGATAGCTAAATTGGCAAAACATTTCTAGAGTAGACCTGCCCTTAATTTAACTGAATATCTTCTTGCCCTTGTATTATGAGAAAGGATAAATGGCACTCCATGATAAATCTTCTCTACCATTCATTGTTTTGTAAAATGTATCTTGTCAACTTTTATCCATCACCTCTCCAAACTAAACGGCCCTGGATGTTCAATCTCACTTCATATAGAAATCTTTGCAACCCTAATCATTCTTGTCAGACCATTTTCTGGACATTTTCTACTTTGTATTATATCCTTTTAGAGACCAAAATAACAGTATCCAGACAAAAGGGATTCCACAGGTTTAAGTGGTGGCATTATAATCTTTTCAGTATTTTTCTCTATTCTTATCCTAATACAACCTGATATCTTATTTGTTTTTTTCACTGCCGCGGTGTATTGAGCAAATATTGCCAACCATCTGACCATGATATGTGAATCTTTGTCCAGTGTGTTTACAGGTACACCTCTACCTCGATATAATGCGACCCGATATAACACGAATTCGGATACAACGCAGTAAAGCAGTGCTCTGGGAGGGCGGGGCTGCGCAGTCCGGTGGATCAAAGCAAGTTCAGTATAACGCGGTTTCATTTATAAGGCAGTAAGATTTTTTTGGCTCCCAAAGACAGCATTTATCAAGGTAGAGGTGTAATTGAGAGACCATCAGTAAAAGTTCAAAGAGTTCCTTCCAACGTTTATCACCTGCCACTTGTTTACAGTGAATTTCATTCTCCATCATATTGCCCAAATAACTATCTCTGTAAGCTCCTTCTGAAGTTCATACTAATCTTCTCTAGGCCTGACTTAGAAATAATTCTGTGGTATCTACAGATTTTTGCCACCACATCGTACACCCCCCTCCTCCTATGTCATTAATAAATATTATTTTAAAAATCTGCCCTATTAAAGGTCCTTGGTCAGCCCACTATTAATTTCCTTATGTTAAAAATTGAACAGATTTTTCTACTTCTCTTAACCAGTTTCTAAATCCATGAGAGAATTTTACTGCTAATGCCATAACTGCTTAGCTTCCTTTATAGCCTCTTGTGATGTTTTTGAAAAGTCCACATAAAAATATTTACTGCTTCTTTATCCACTAATTTGTTCTTTTCTTCAGTCTTAGAAAGGTATGATTTTCATTACAAAGCCCAAGTTCACCTAAGTATTTCTAGAACTCTCTTTAATAACTGTTCAATTTTTCCTGGAAGCAAACAAAAGTAGATGTAGACTGTGCGTCTATCACTCAAAAAAAGTCAATACAAAGACGATACCTACCCGTGACAAGATACTTTCTAATGATTCTGTTAGTGACCGTTTAGCTTTGCTCTTCAACATATCTAGTCTGAACCTGGAAGCACTGCTTGGCATCTCATTTCCAGTAGTCTCTCCACAAGGCTGTGAAGCCTATAATATTTAAGAAAGCAGATGTAAAATACAGGGTTGTACAGAACAAAAACTCACTGAAAGATTTTTGACATCTTAGTAGCACATTTCCAAGCTTTTCTAAACCAAAGCTATACTAAGCTCTGAATCCTCTCATGCACTGTGTTTCTACTGACATAACAGCACTGAAGCTTATTGAATTAACCTACTACTAGATCTAGGAATCTCTTTTCCAAATGACATTTATTTGTTAAGTGAAGTAAGTGAGCACCAGGAATATTGTTTTTCATAACAAAAATATGTCTCTTCACATGTTTACCACAATGGCAGAGCACAATTATATCATCTGTAAGTACAAGAAGAACAGATTCAGGATGTCATGGGGAATTATTTATCTTAACACCTCAGATTAGACTTGACCAATTTATTTTATTTTTCACGGCAATCGTCTCCTAGGACTTTGAGTGAGTTAGCTGCAAGAACGTATACCACTCCTCCAACTCCATTCCTTCGAACGCTCTATATATTTATATATATATATAAAATCACCACTAGGAACACTTCCACATTATGGATGACAATCAACTCATAGCTGTTATTTTTTTTTTTTAGTTAAAAGTTTAAGCTCAATTTTAGTGCTTGTGAAAGTCGGACAGCTCTGGAAACTGAACACAGAATGGGACCGCAGAAGTGGGAAATGAGGGATAAATGTTGTGCCTCAAACCTAACTTAGTCTTATCAACTATGTGGACCAAAGAGTAATTCTCTGTGTCCATTAAACCTTGAACTTTTCTCTTGAGGCTCCTAACATTAGTGCCAGATATACCCAGTGGTAACAGTATCAGAGATGTGAATGCATTAGACCAGTTGATATCACATGGAGAAGTGAACGGCTCGCAGACAGCAGTAAGTTTTGGTCATTACCAATCCAGGCTGTTGACAGTTCCAACAAAATGACACTACATCCTATTTCCAATCCTCCAAACAAAGAATTCAATCTTTTCCCTCTAATTCAACTCTCCTCAACCCTACATAGTAAGTCCTTGCAGTTTTCTGGTGAAAAACACTTATTTTGAAAAGACTTTTTGGTTCAAAAATATTAATGTTCTATGAAATCTCTTGCAGCTGTTTAAATTTAAATTCTTCCAATTTAACAGAGAACTTGAGTAGGATTCCTCACCCAGAAAGCGAGTGTGAGTAGCAATGCAGGAGAGAAGGCAAAAAAATTCAGGGAGTTTGGGTTATTCATCTCTGAGAGATGAAGTCCAAAGGTATTTACTGTTCCACAGCTTTGAAGATAAAAGATCAAAGTAGATATGACATTTTCTACTAAGAAGAATGGTTGGGTGAGAGGCAAATCAAGTTTGCTGCTAGAACTTTGGCATCTTCACAAGCGTCAGATTATTATTTTTTGGCTTCAGGAGCTGAAAAAGACTACAGCATGTCTCAGCAGCATTAAAATCACACACAGTTTTTATATTAAGATATCATCTTCTTCCTTAAACACCCACTTTCCAACTATTTTGAACATGAAACTGTTTGATAAAAATAATTGGCACTAATCTCAAATGAAAATATTTCACATCTGTTAACAAAAAACCCCAAACACTATTTCCTCCTGTCCTACCTCAGCCCACACTGCTCTTTCTAAGTCCACACATATCTGGACAGACACGTAAATGACTGGAGAGTTGACAAAAACAGTAAATCAGAAAACAAGAATGTGAAGCTTTCTTCCTGTTTTCTCGGCAATGCTAATAATTAACCAATAAGCAATAAAAGGATAAGAGATTAAAATAAACACAGAGCTAGTCACAAAAAAGTGGGTGATGCCTCTCCAATTACTTCATGCTTTAAATCTGAATACTTAGAGGGAGCAGAGTTCGAGGCCGCAGCACGTAGGATTCAATTAATCTGACCCTCCAGTGTGTTCACTGTGTACCTAGCAAGCAGGAGGAGACTGCCTGGAGCAGGCATTACAGTACATTTCCTGCTATTGGTAGATATTGAAAGAAATGTTGACCAAGATTTTCAAAAGTGATTATGGTTTTGGGTGCCTCAGTTTTGGGGTGCCCAGATTGAGTAACCTTAAAGGGGACTGGTTTTCAGAGGGGTGGTGCTCAGCCTTTTCTATAAAATCAGGCGCCTTTAAGATATTTCAAGTTGGGCACCCCAAAACCAAGACATTCAAAATCACTAGTCTCTTTTTAAAATCTCATCCATGCCTGAGATCTTTTTAAACCCCTCCTCTGATGAGAGAGAGGGAGGAGAGGCAAGCTGCTGCAAGGCTAGTGGCAGTAGGGAGATAGGTTTAGTTATTTCCCCTATGGAAAGGAAAGCAGCCTCTCACCCTGGAGAAGCCTAAGTGTCTGTTTAAGGGAAGGACTGATACCCCGGGTCCAACAACATGACAACACACACCCCGCAGCAGCGAGGGGGTAGCGAAATGTGTTTGTAATTTTTTTTCCTTTTGCTTGGTGGAGGAGACCCACCTTGGGCCTGCCATGAGGCCTACATTGAAAATACTGACAAGTAAACACAGAGGGAAGACAGACACTGTCCAGAGCGGGGCTGATTTACCCCAGGCCTTGCCACTGCCAGAGGGGGAAGAGCTAAATCTGGCGAGACGGGGGAGATACCTGGTCACAATACCTGCATTTGAAGGACAATCTGCCCACATTTTTTTCTAGCCATATTGCATGTAAGGTTGGTTACCTCCCAGCTCCTTCAAATTTTTTGGCTATGTCTACACTATGGACCTTAGAGCGGTACAGCTGTAAGATCTCCTGTGTAGCCGCTCTATGCTGGCAGGAAAGAGGTCTTCTGCCAGCATAATTAAACCACTCCTAATGAGTGGCGGTAGCTATGTCAGGAGAAAAGCGTCTCCCGCCGACATAGCACAGTCCACACCAGTGCTTTTGTCAGTGAAACTTTTGTCAGTCGGGGGGTGTTGTTTTCACACCCGATTGACAAAAGTGCTAGTGTAGACAAAGCCTTAAAGACTGAACAGTAGTTTTGTCCTTCCTTTCTCAAGTGAAGAACATTGTCTCCTCTGTCAGTTCTGCAGCAATGTTTATCTGTCAGTTCTGCACCAATGTTTAACAACAACCTCTGTTTGCATTAGCCTCAATGATATTTCCACACAAAGAAATATCCCCCATATTACCGGGCAACCCCAGCAGTCCTTCCTCAGGATAAATTCCAGTGGGCTTGATTCACCATTGAACTCGACTGGGACTGACAGGGAGCCAGAAAATGAGAGTGGAGTCTTTTTGAAATGACACATACATGCTTCAGCTGTAATTAGTAACTGTGACAGAATGTAGTATTTTCATATGAATGTTTTCTATATCCACTGTATTGAGAAGATCAGAACAGACTAACTGCAAAGACCAGTGGTCCAGATAGACTGGTACCAGCCAGTACCAGATGCTTCAGAGGAAGGTGCAAGAGACTCCATAGCGGAAAGTGCAACTAGTGGTTTTCTTATGCCCCAAAGCATAAGGGTTTATATCCTTTCCTCCCTTGCTATTAGCACATGGGATCCAAGTATATTCTGACTGGACTTTCTCTTCCCACTGCTGAGTGGCTGTTGCTCCAACCCTCCAGCTCTCCCTCCCTCAGTGATTCCACTTCAGCTTCACTGCACACCTACCCCTCCTTCCCCTGGCTTTCTCTGCCCA